CGGTATGGCCCACACAGCCCAAACCCTAAACCCTGCATGCCATATACTAGTCTCAGTTTTCTCCATTCTTAATCTACTGAGGTACTACCCAAAATCCCCAAGCCCAAAACCCCAGGTTGAATCTTACATCCTCACCTCAGGAGCAGCAGAGGATGCAGGAGCAGCAGGCAGCGCAGCAGCAGCAACAAGCGCAGATGTCCGAGCCTAAGGTTCACACTTCCGGTGTTTAGTGCTTTTAGGGCTGAGGGGTGCTTAGGTGGTTTCCGACGGCTGAGGGTTTAAAGGATTTGAGGGTGTGAGGGCTCGGTTTTGAGGCTTCAGGGTTTATGGGCTTCAGCATGCAGCAAGGCCAGAACCCTCCAGGGTTTCGGGCCTCAGTCGTAGGTTGTAAGGGCATAGGGTTTAGGAATGACCGGAGTTCTGATCATTTCTTGTCGCTGTAAGGGTCTAGGACTTAACGTTGAAGATTCTGAATCTCACGGTTTGTTGCGCGTGTTTGCGCGTGATTAAGCTGTAGACCCACAAACACATCTAAAAACCACGCGGTACAGTACAAGAAAGAAGACCTCTCCTTGTCTGGAGCCTCCTGGCAGGGCCCCTGGGGGAAGAAATATACAGATCATTTTATAATAAGGGAGTACATAGGGAATAAGGTTTACAGTGCTTAAGGGATGGGGGGGTTTGCCAGACGGCTAGGGACCCTAACTTAGAACGCTGCGCGACTAGGTCATGTTGGGCTACTGCGCGGTTATCTGGGGAAAGGATTTCCTACGCATCCACGAAGCCCTCCAAAGAACAGCTATCAACAGGATTCACATACCTGCAACCCCCCTCTACCGGCCCATTATGAGTGAATGTTAAGCATGTGCACCTCCTGAATGTGTTGAAGCTCCTGTGAAGCAGTAGTACGTCTATGTTAAGATTTGCCCGGGCAGAGTACAGTACCTCTGGCCTCACCTACCCTTAAACCCATATTCTAAAGGAATGACACCATAAATCCAAGCCCCCAAATTTGCTTTCCAATCCCCTTGCCAGGATGCAGCTAATGCAAGCCCAGGGTGTACCTGAAGCTGCCCCGGGGGCGGTAGCTTGGCGACACTTCGAGCAAACATGTGGCGAGAGTTCAGGTGCTTGAGATCTGATAGGTGACGATCCCAAACACAATCCCCACTTGCAAGATCTCCGGAAAGAGGCTCCGAAATTCTCGGGAAAGCCGGGTTTTGGGCTTAGGGTCTCAGGCTTTGTGTTGGACTTTGATTGAATGGGTTTCGGGTTGTGAACTTTGGTATCTGAGCTGGCTGTGGATTTTGCATTTCTTGAGATGCTGCAACATTGACAGATTTTGGCTTGTGCTGTATCACCTCAGAAACACAGCCGATCTTACAGTAAGTAGTTTCTGTACGAGTTTCATCGCCTAATGGACATCAGGCTGCGAAGGTTTTGACTTCTCAAATACGAAGAAGATTCAAACATTCTTCAGGTGAGATGGTAGGCTTCAGAAGGCTGCAAGCAGTATCAACTGGGACGTATGGCGCCGTTCACATTCTAGACCTGTGCTGCGTACTGCTCGTAGGAGATGTTGCTTTCGTACAAAGTGTAGTCCTAGGAACTCGTGGTGAGAGTAGGCTCATTGCGAATCCATCCATGATCGCTGAGATGATCTTTGGGCGGCAGCTTGTACAAGAACCTCCCTGAGGCCGGTGCCACCAGCAATGCTTAATTAGGCTTCAACAGACAATCGGAGCCTGACAAGTGCTTTATGACAGCTGCAAATTATCAATTGCGTTAGTTCGCTAGGGCGATCTACATCTCTTGCCTCGAGAGAGCAAAAGCGTTCTGCAGAGCATGCACGCAGGGTGGCGGGCTGACCGCTAAAGCAGGCCTGGTAGCCTATTGCGGCATGCTGACTTGCAGGGAGAGCATTACCTGATGCATTTACTAGATTAGCAGTGATTCCCAATGGTCAACATTCCTCGCATGTTATTGTTTAATTTCAGCAGCCCCGATAGTTTTATGAGATTTTATGAGTTTAGTGCTTGGCACGTGGCCGCCTTCGCGCTCCGGTTGGAAATGCATGTCCGTCAGAGCAGTGGGAAAGTATCAGTGGTATCGAAGAGATTTGTCGAATCCAAGCTGCCTGAAATTGCTAGGAGACCTTCCACTTGAGCTAATGAGCGCAGGAATCATGCGCAAGTCTTCTTCTGCAGTCCCCAGAAGCAAGTTTTTTTGGGAATCCACAGCAGCCCACTGCAGAAGAAGGCTTCTCATGAATGCCTTGATGCGGCAGTTTCCACTGATGGTATCAAGTTGTGAGGATTCTGGCGCGTGACTTCTTTTTTTTTGGGGGGGAGGGGGGGGAGGCGGCCCCGCTAGTTGTTGGAAACTACCGCATGGTTTCGAGGAATGAGCTGGGTCTCGGTGGAGCTCGCCCAGCTTGCGCCTGGCAACAGGGAGTTGTGACATGCGAAGGCAGTAGGTTTTGTAACAGCACACACAGTAATTGTAATTAATTGTTTCACAGAGTTTTTAAGATTCAAGACTTTCAAATTTCCGCGAGAACCTTGTTCAGCAGACGTAGGTATTAGCAGTTTTTCACCACGGATGCAGAGGAATCAGTTCCTGCCACAATTTGCCAACCCCAGTGGATGGTGGCGCAACGGCACTTGGGGGGCTATGCTTGAGGACTTGATTCCTATCCATCCACCACCACCCCCCCATGCCACAAACCATCCTAGCAGTCAAAACCAAATCTTATCTGATACGCCACTATGTTATATTAGCCCCAATAATGGAGAATCAAATGGAAAAGAAAATGGAAAAGGACATGGACATTACCATAATGGGTTGTAGGGTGGTTATATTTAGGTCGCATCCCATGTTGCGGCTCATGCTTGCAGAGCTCCAGCTCAGCTAGTTAGTTTCACCCTGTTTCTGACGTGGCAAGATGCTGGGTCAACAAGAGTGCGGCTTCCTGTCAACTTCGAATTCATTTCTACGGCCCATGTACGAGGCATTAATGCTGTGTTGGGGGCATTAAGGGGAGTTTGACTGTGAGAATTTAAAACTGAAATGGCTCAGGCCCCGGAGGCACTTCTCCTTGCTAAGGCTGTTTGGCGGATTCCCATTCTGAAGTGGCGTCTTGAGGCGCTGGTTAGCTGTGAACAGCACTTTTCTTCCTTGTTGTGCTGGTTATTCGCTATTTTGTGGACTGAAGATGCCCGCCTTCGGGACAGGGTTCTGGTCGAGCCTATGTCCTGGATCCTGAAGACCGTAAATGCAAGGTGCGAATGTGGATAAGTTGAATCCAATCCACAGGCAACTGACCTGAGACCTGCCACTCGCGTTGGCACGCTCATTCTGAGACGCAAGGAAGCTTGAATGTTACAGCACGTTGATCCTCAACTTTACCCTTGGGCTTAGAGGTCCAGACTTAGATGCCGCCAATTCCTACTGACACTTACTACTACCATTGAACTTATCGCACGGCTTTATGCAACTGTGTCGTGGCAGCATGTCTTTTAATTACCAGGTTCCCACATTCTATAAGCATGGGTGCCTGCAAAGCGCTAGTAGGCCCAATGGTGGAATGTACAGCTACATGGACGAGTTTTGAGCTCTAGCTATGTTGATTTCTCCCGAGACAGTAAGCAAGTGCACTGCCGCAGGGCCTGCGTTTCAAAATTCGCAAATGTAGAAGCTCAGACATAGAAGCTGAAGGCAGGAAATCTGACTGGTCATGCTCCAAACCATGCCTGCCGCTGCCTTTGGTTCACCTCCAGCTGGGTTCTACCTCAGTTTGGGCGGGGGGAAACATCCGGAGGCCGACGTGCCTGCTTCTGGGACAATAGCATCAAACAACACTAGCCGCATTGATTATCATCGCCATTACTCCTGCTGCAACCATCATCACTCTTGTGGGTCAGGATTACCTTGTCAGCAGAACTACTGTAGCAGTATGTATGTTTGTAGCTACTGGAAGTGTCAAGCTTCCTGGCTTGGGATGATTGTGAAAGAGCCAGAAGCTTCAAAAGAAAACCCAAGAGCTGAAGGTAGGCTTAGGGCCACCCCTGGAGTGTGGCTTTCACGTCATAGCTCGCTTTAAGGCAGCACTTTGTTTGGCCCAAGAGCTTCGAAGATGCATGGCATCTTCATGCCCGTAGGCTCCCCCAAAGAGCTACGCACACAAAAAAACAGAGGAGGTCACAAAATATGGTAAAGTGCCTGACTTGATTTGGCGTGACAGTATACCAACTTGCCCGAGCCTACGTGATTGCCGGGACGATACCAAAGTTTCGCCTACGCCAAAAAGCAGTAGCCAAGCCCTAAACCGCATGCTTCGCGGGACCTCTCGCGCGACTTGAATGGGAGTTATGGAGTCCAGGGTAGTAGGCAGGAAATTGCGCCAGGCCGCCAAAACAAACAGCAGTTGAAAGGCAAATATGTCTATCCTTAGTTGCAGTCCACGTACAATTCTAGTAGAACAAAACTCGCCAAACCACTCTTCTGCTCATTCATCAATCGGCTCTGCTTTAGCAACAGAACCAGCGTCCCCGCGCAAGAAGGAACATTCCCAAGAAAGCTGCCATGAATTTATACATATTTATATATATATGTGTACATATATATATATATACACATACGTATGTATGTTTGTTTAGAGGAATATTCATTTGCCATGGTGTGGGAAGGGTCTTCTTGCTGAAGGGGAGGGGTATGCAAAGGGGATGGCTCTGGACCCTAGACCCCAAACCCTGCACCTACACCCCAAACCCTACATCCTAACCCCCAAACTCTTAACCTGAACCCTAGACCCTGAACCCCAAACCCTAAACTAAGCCCTAAACCGCAAACCCTAAACCCCAAACCCTTAACCCTAACCCTAAACCCTAAACGCAAACCCTAAACCCCAAACCCTAAACCCCAAACCCTAAACCCGAAACCCTACACCCTACACCCCAAACCCTTAACTGACTTCAGGAACCGGGTCCTCGGGATGTTCCATGGGTTGCCTTCCTAGCAAGGCGACCGGATCTGAGGCCCCCCTGTCCGGGGTGGTAGAGGAGTTCCGTGGGGGTTAGGGTTTAGGGTTTAAGGGTTTAAGGGTTTAAGGGTTAAGGGTATTGGGGTTTAGGGGTTAGTGATTCTAGGAGTAGGGGTTTGGGCTATTAGGGTCTACCTGGAAATCCTGGTGACCGAA